TGCACCACAAAGTCACGCCTTACCGAACCACGTTCAGACCCAGAGTGGAAAGTATCTAGAAGATCTAAGCCGAGCTCGTCGGCCCGCGTACTGATCGTTTGAAATTGAGTGCACGTACACGTAGATGCATGTGCTCGAAATGCTCAGGACGGACAGATTTCTTTGCTCTCGGCAGGGCAGAAGCCTGCGGGTTTTCCCAGGTCTGTGGCGTGGCTGTGTCGGGAGGCAGGTGACATTTGTGCTTCTGGGAAACAATACAGCACCTGCGGTGAAGCCTGGGCCTGTTCCTGGGGCCGTGGAGCACAGCACGCCGGGACAAGGCCTCACCCTCCCACCGCACGAAACGCCAACTCAGTACGTACAGAGCTTCTGGAGAATTCTACCTACAGACACAGGTGCAGATAGCTGCTTCCTGCAAGGGCAAACTTCGCAAAACTCCAGTTCTCAGGCTTGACTGATTAGGAAAAATGTGAGGTCTTTAACATGATTTTAGGGAACTCGCCCATTTCTGAAGCAGGATAGATTTCACCTCCTGGGAAGTCGCAAAAAAAAGTTATACTGATGTGAAAACTTAAACGTAGAGCCAAGAAAAGCCGTTCTAAGAGACAGCGTTGACAGAACAGGCGACTTTAGGAGCTCGTGGTGGGGACCAGGCAAACCTCGGGGGACTCACTGTTGTCTACCTGAAAAGGAAAACGCTTCTCTAGCTGGTGAGTGCAGATTACGAAAGATTAAACCGCCGTGGAAAAAGAAAGACCCCCCAATTCAAAGCCTGGGAGAATACACCACACCCCCTCTGTGAGCGCCTGGCTCTCCCTTGTCCAGAGGTGGGAAGTTAGGACGCGTCCGGGCCACGGGCCCCTCAGCCTGAGCGGAGGGAGCCCCCCCCGACAGCAGCGGCCACAACGCACCTCATGTCACACTCCCATAACCACTCGCGAGTGGGATGAGCCCCCGGGGCCGTGTCCAGGCCGCCCACACCCAAATGCGCTCTCGCCTCTGGCTCCAAAGGCCTCCAAGTAACAAGGAAACCTGGGTGTCGTGAAATAAACCATCAAAAGAGGCTTGCGGAAAACCCCGCCGGGGTCCGTGCCCTCGAGTGGGGTGGGAGCGCGGGCCGGTGGGCTGCCGAACTGGCTGCTCCAAGGTGATCAGAGCCTCAGAGAAATGGACGCGACACTCAAAAGACGCTCAGGGGGAAAAAGCCGGGGAACGTCTACTTATCACCTAACGACTTCTCTCTGCACAGTGTTGCCCAAGTGCCTTCCACGGAAACAGGACACCCACGTGAGGTGGGGCCCCAGCGCCGTGGGTTCCACATCCTTTCACGTGAACCGGGCGCTGCTACCCTGAGTGACCACGTGTCGTGAGTGGGTGCACAGGCGTTCCCGCCATGTAAATGTTACATGTTGACAGGCCAACGCGGGGAAAGAAAGAACAAAACTAAAGAAATTACCTTTCCAGATAACAAAGCACAGACTTAATCCAAACATACTATGGTTTCCGCATCTAGAAGAAGAAGTAATATCTACTAAAACAACCGAGAAAAGTTTGGTGACCATTAAAAAAATGACCTTCCCAAACAGGTTTCAGTTACTCTGGAAGTTCTTCCCAGTTTGAGGAAATTAAAGTATGACAGATAGTTTGGTAAGACTGATCTCTTGGTAAGTGCTGAAGCGTGAGAGTCTATCAAGAAATACTTGATTTTCCAATGGGTAAAGCAAACAAAAATCTCACCCACATCCACATCCGTAAACTAAGCTTTAAGATGCTGACTCCGTCTACGAAATAGTTCTATTCCGAGGAAGAAAAGGAAAAATGTTTAAACGTGTCTGCATTAGGATCTAATAATGCAAAGTACTCACTGTTTGAAACAGTGTGAAGAAAAGCCCACTGATGATTCAGGACCACTCCATGAACACACCGTAACCCAAAGCCCCGAATCATGAGTTATGAGCGCACAGGTCTCTGCACGGACCGCCAGCAGCCTGGGAGGGCAGACAGCACAAGGGTGAGTTGTGAGGGCTCGCGTGGACCAGGGCTGCGCGGGGGCCTTCCCGCGCCAGGCATGTTGCAATGAGGCCACTGCCGTGCCGTGTAACTGGGGACACATGGATTCTCCACTCAGCCTCTCCGGGAAGAGGAAATCCCAGTCCAGAGGCCACCAGAGCCTCGGCTGGAGCAGACCCCCCAAACCCCATCCTTCACTGCTGGCCGAAGGCTCCCTGTGTTCTGACGAGGACACCGACTTCGTCCATCGGAAGGGTCAAGTCACCCTGTGTTCTGACGAGGACACCGACTCCGTCCGTCGGAAGGGTCATGTCATATTCCAACGCTGATAAAACTTGCTACATTGCCACCCGCCACTCCTCATTCCCAGGTCAGCTACTTCTAACCTCACGCACACTTTCTTCCGGAAAAATGATAACAATGATTATTTTCATCGTCCCCAAGAGATAAGGTATGATATCAAATCGCTCGGTTTTCCTCGTCCAGTGATGGGACTTAGGGGAGGTTTATCCAAACTTCCCTTCCACTGTAGGGTTAACCGCGTGCAGAAGGCCAACGATGCAAAAATAAAAAAGCATCAAAGCAGCTCTTCCTGAAATCGTTTTATGTTTGCGATACTTTGGACAACTTCTCAGACAGACGTTTGCGTTCAAAGGGGGTCTCAGGGGTCGCTCTAGAAAACCCAGGTTTAGTGCGGACGCATTAACGAGCTAACTCTTGCCTCATTTACAAACGTAAACCCCCTCTATTGGTAGCTATGCTTTTAGGAGCTGGTGATACATGAGTCAGCTAAATCTAGAGGGAAAAGTCGTGAAACCCCATCCCCATGTGCTGAGTCCTGCCCTGCTAACCACAGACCACAACAACATAGCTGCTCAAACAGCAGCACCCTCTCCCCGGCGAACAGGCCACTTCGGGACGATGTCCACATTTAATCAGGGGCCTTCCCTAAAACGTATACTGGAGCGACAACAAAACCAAGCCCATCCGAAAATCTTTACAGTCATTTCATTTCCAAATTTCCCTAGGTCACATTTTTAAAGGAAAAGTTTTTTCCCCTTTTTATTAATCTGGATTGAAGAAAAGTACACATTTCATTTATTGTCTGGATTACAGATTCTTATTAAACAAACCAGAGCTCATTATAAAATCAATATCAACTTAACCACCATGTCCCCAGGAGGAACAAGAAAAAGGTCACTCCAAGAAATTCAAACAATTTTCCTGCTGGAAGGGCATGATTTTAATTACAGATACTATTAATTAGAGCTGTCACTGGCAAGATTTTTTTTTTCTGTTAATTATCGGAAACTCAGTTCTCAGTGTGCAATTTCAACCCGCGTTTTTGCCAAACGTAGTCATTTCTGCATGCAAGCCCAGCCTTTCCATTCTATCAATATTTTATATTTGAATTTCAAAGTGTATCAAAGGATGCTGTGCTTTCTCAAAATCCACCCCTGTGTGATCTCCCGTCTCTTGCACACAGAACAGAACTGGTGTGATAATTTATTTATGTCCCGGCACAGACCTGGCCATCCTACACCGATGGTCTTGCTCAATAGAATTTCTGGATAAATTCTTACTAGTTTATGTGACATTTTTTCCTAGGCTTCTTCTTCAAACGTGGTTTTTCTTTTGCTTTGAAGCAGAGCCGTGCGCTGGGGATGAAATGTCACCTCCCACACATTTGAAGTTGCCATTTCTTTATAAGAGACGATCACGCTGACCAGCCTTGTGACCTCCTCCAGAAAACCGGAGCGTTTCTCCTCCGTTCAGGGACAACACCAAGAATTTTGAAATGGCCCGGGCCGGCGGGGGGGGGAGGGGGAGGTGGGAAGCTATCTCCTGGTGTCTTTTAAGCATAGTGGTTTTAGAAACTCATCCCAGCTCCTTCCGTGGGCCAGCGTCAGGGCAGCCCAAGGAGCAAAATCAGGCAGCACAGGCCAGTCCTAGAGGGCACCCAGGGGGCCAGCTTGGGCGGGGGAGGGTGGTTCTAGAAAGAGCAGGAGAGCCCCCCCGTATGACTGTCATGACAGGAGAGTAACATTCAACTCATACACGATTGTAAATAGGCTGTGTCGTACAGAAGACAGACATATTCCACGGCACAATCATGTCACTAGACAAAACAAAGCATCTCGTCCAGTGGGAGGGAATCTTCCACAAATACATATCGAATGCATTTTTAAAAGGATGATTAAATGTTTTACCTTCCCAAATGGGAAAACGTACTTAGAGTTAAATGCCATTTTACGTTAAAAGGAATCCAACGCCCCAACTAGTTCCTACCGTGGGCTTGTATGCTGTTGCAACCGAAGGCACATCTTCATTACAGGACGTTACCGAATATGAAGCGTACGCTACGGCGCGTCCAAACATTCTGGGAATTTTCTACCAGCCCGTGTGGTCTGGACCTGCCTTCCTGACGTTCTCTTTGGCTTCTGACTTGTCTCCAGGTGGGTCTGGGACGTCCCGTGTTACCCGCGGGAGGCCGCCGCCCTGGCTCTCAAGGGGACGTCCTTGGCTTACTTCCCACTTATGGGCATTAGATTTCACTTTATCCAAATAATAGCAGAGGGCAGCAACGGTTCAGGTCAAAGGATCCTTTCATATGAGACCCCGAGAAGTCGACAATTTAAGAGACGTCTTCAAAAACCCACACAGCCAACGTATCTCGCAACTTTGGCATTTTTTCATTAATAGTGGCCAAACTAAGAAAGATAAAGATACGTAATTCACGTTTCTTACTTCTTCCACATTTCCATTGAGCAACCTGCTTTCACAGCTAACTGAGACCAGCCGAGAACAGAGTAAGATTAACACGAAGCAGTAAAACTGTGGTTACAAGGGACTCGTGTGAACGCTAGTGAGGAGTTTCCAACCGTCCTCCTAAAAGAACCCAAACTACGGGTAAGAGAGCCGCTGGGCGTGGGGAAGGGCCTCAGGCAGTTAACTGATCTGTGTGTCCAGTGGGTGAACGGAGCCCCTACCTGGTAGGCGGCCGTGGCGTCCGGGCCCGGGTGGTCCCCTGGTCCCGACAGCTTGTCCTGCAGCCTGGCGCGGGAGGTGTGGCGGAGACAGTAGATGACGCCGGAGGCCAGGAGGACCCCCACCATGGCCACGACGGAGACCAGCGTGAGCACAATGAACGGGGTCGAGTCCCCTTGCTTTGCCCGGCGTGGAGGGAGCTTTAGTTTGCTTTTCTGCAGGACAGGAGAGAAGGAGTGTGTTAGTGGCCAGCAAATAGGACCTCCTGGAAACCACCCTTTCCCAGCGGATCCAAAACGTGACAGCTCAGCGCAGCGGGCTGTGGGCCCTGCCCCAGCGGGAGGGCCTTCCAGAACAGCACCCCCAAGCAAGGAGAGAAGTTATGTCTAATTCGCATCTTAAGGATCGCAGCGTTTTCAAAAGGAAACTCAGAGGCATCACTTTTATTCTTAAAACCACCGATTTTCAAAACGTAAGGACGTGAACTCTTTGGCCCGCATCCCTTGTCCAGACAAGGGTGAGAGAAATAGTTTATCCAGAGCACGCACCACAAATGTTTCCGCCGGGGGAGGGGGGGCGGTGGTTCCTGGGGCACAGAGACGTCAAACAACCCTACAGCGCACAGCACAAAAGAGGGGCAGGATCTCTGAAAGTTTCACCTCAACCTTCCCGGAGACACAGCAGGGGCGGTGCCTCCGAGGACACTTGGCGAGGCATCCCCACCGACCTGGGACCCTCCGTGCGCGCCCGCGGGACACAGACCGCCTCCGGGCACCTCACGCTTTTCCTGGGAAGGAGCCGCGGGGCGCTGGGGAGGCCAGGGTCCAGGAGGCCGCCTCCCGGTGGTGTGGAAAATGGGAAGACAAAGCATCAGAGTCCCACTGTCTGGGGGGCAGGCTTTGGGCGCATCTCTCCGGAGTCCCCTCCGGGCTCAAGGAGCGTGGTGCTCGCGGGGCAGCCTCGTCCTCAGTCAGGTGCAGTGGCCGCGGTGAGAAGCGGCTCCGGCCAGCACGCCCCCCACCACCACCCGGGCAATGAATGGAAACGCACGCCCCCGCCTCGGTCCCGGTTGCTACAAGATGAGAACAATTAGCAAACTCCTTTCCACCACCTAATTTCGCGTGGTAACAAAATGGATTTTTCCCCATGAATGCCTGGCCGGCCTATTCATTATCTCTCTTCTATTAGTAATTTTCTGCTCCGTATTCAGCCTCCCACCTCCTCATTTCCTCCCGTCTCCGAGTGTACACAGGGCCTCTTATGTCAGGCCGGGCCATTTTTATCTTGTAATCATAAAGGCCACCAAAGCAATTATCGCCGGTCTTGACTGGAAAAGCTGGTCATTAATTAGCCTCCTTTTGCCTTCGGTGCCGCGGATTAGCTGGTGCCGGGACCGAGTTAATGGAAACGCGGGTTAAATGAGAAAAGACGCCGAATTTTCTTGCCTGGACGCCCGGCCCCGAGGAGGACGGCGAGGCTGGCAACCGGCGGGGAGGCACACGGAGGGTGGGGAGGGCGGGGAGGGGGCTGGGGAGGGGGGAGCGCGCAGGGGGAGGGACCCGGAGGGGCGGGGGCGCAGGAGGGGCGCGCGAGGGGCCGGAGCTGCGGTCCCGCGGTCTCCTCTCCCCCCACCCCCCTCCCCGGCGCGGACCCCTCCCCTCCGTCCGGCTCGCCCCTCCCTCCGCGCCGGCACTGCTGCCTCCGGGAGGCTCTGGCTCCTGGAGCAGCGGACCCACCCCCGCCGCCCGCGCTCCCACCGCACCCCTGTCCCCGCCCCGCGCGGGGCGAGAGCCGCAGCCCCATAAATAAACCGGAGGACCCCACCCGGCGCGGCGCGGCCCAGCGGGGCGGGAGGGACCGCGACCTCCCCGGCGCGGCGCGCAGGTCAGCGCCCCTGGGCGCCCGCGAGGCTCCGGGCCGGGGTCTCCGTCCCCTGACTGCGTCCCGCGGCTGGGGCGGCCTCCCCCTCGCGGCGGCCCCTCCGCCCCCCGAAAGAGGCCTTGCCGGCACCTCGGTGGGGGGCGTTTCCAGGAGGACCGCTCGCTCCCCCCCGCGCCCCCCGCGGGACCGCCTCGCGTCGGCAGACCGAGCCGGGACAACAAAGGAGGCGGCCGCGGCCGAAGGAGGGGCGTCCGGCCGTCCCCCCGCCCGGGCCCGGCCCGCCCGGCCTTCACTACGCGTCCCCCAACCCCGCCCTCCGTGCCGGCGACTGTGGGTCCCCGCGTCCCCGCTTAGTCCAAGCTCCCGCGCGGGGGAATCCCGCCCAGGCCTCGGGAGGACCCCTCGCGCCCACGTGGTTGACGGCGCCCGGGAACGGGGACTTCCTGAACCTTCCTGCCTGGCGGCGTGAAGCGCACACGCGTGGGGTGGCCAGCTGGCTCCAGAGGACGCGCCGCGCCTCGAAGTGTGGCGCGCGCGTCGGTGCGCACCCGACGGACGGTCGCACGCGCGCCAGGGGCCAAGGCCCGGACTGTGGATGCCGGGCGGTCGGGGACGCGAGGTCCCGCTGCGCAGGGCGCTCGCCGGGGAACCCGCGCAGAGGCGGCCCGGTTGTCACTCGGTTCCAGGTGAGAGGCCATGCAGGCAGGCGCGGGCGCCCACACGTTCTCCTGGCCCAGGCCTCGGGCGAGGGAGAGGTCGCACCGAAGCTCTTTTCAAGGAGGCAGAGTGGCCCGAACGCCGCCGCCCCCGGCCGGCTGGGTTCCTGCCCCAGGAAACCGACGGTCACCGTGACCCACGATGCGCTCGGCACGCGCGGGCAGTGGAACGGTGCCTCTTTGGCGGCGCGCGTGGAGTGGACTCAAAGGTCAAAGAAAAACGTCAAGGAGAGTGGCTGCTCCCAGAGCTGAGGTCCGTCCTCTCCGGACCCCGCTCTCCCTCCTCCCAGCTGCCCAGCCCCCGCTGGGTCCCAGGTGCTGCTGGAGTAGACGGGATGCAGGGGAGGGAAAAGGACGCGACCCGGTGCCCACCGAGTCCCATTTTCTATGGTCTCTTCTGGTTCCAAGCTGTGTTGGAACCTTCTCCCGCGGAGAAGGGCCACCGCGGTCCCAGGCTGGGAGGGAGGCGCCCAGACGTACCTCCCGCAGCCTGTCCGCAATCCTAATCCTGCAGCCAGGGGAGGGGTGGGTGAGGCTGAGGACTCCCGAGCTTGGGCGTGGGGGAGAAGAGGGTGTGACCCAGAGGAGGACTGCGGTGGTAGGGCCGAGGGACCCGCCGCGCTTCTGACGCTGAGGTTGCCGGACCCTAGAGCCGGGCTGGGAACGTCCCTCCAGCCGGCCCGGGGCGGGGGCGGGGGGGGGGGGGGGTGCATCTCAGCCAGAGCCCGAAAAATCACTCTTCCTCGCTCCCCGCGCCCCCAGTGGTTCCGACCTACCCAGCGCTGGGCGGGAGGGTCGAGCGGGAGGAAAAACTGTTGCTGGCTGCAAGTCAGGTCTTAAGAAACCCGGAAGAAACTAAAGTTTATGGAAATTAAAAAAAAATTAGAGCAGGTGAATTCCTTCTTTGGCATAGCGACTGGGGTTTAAAATCTTCGTGATTATTTTATTTTCTTTCTTTTTGTGGAACTAAGAAAACAAACAAAACTCCCAATTCCTGCTAACCAAGAGCTTTAAGAGAAAAAAAATGAGCGTGAGTTTGAGCCAGGGCCCTGCTGCAGGTGTGACCAGGGCGGGGTGGGCCTCAGCCCCTCCCCTCCTGGGTCCCTGCTCCCCAAGGCCGAGCGACTTGAACCCGTCTGCGATCCCCCAATTTTGTCCTGGGCCCCACCGATAGCCCACGACTAATTAGAGGCATCCTGTCAGTCTTGACTGGAAATTGAAAGAAAATAATGTTTAAATATTTATGACTTGGACAGACACGTACAGTCAGGCATCTTTTAGAAGCAGAACCCCTCCTTCCGGATGGCGGCAGAGAGAGGCGCACAAGGGGCCGGGATGGCTGTGGGCCCTGGGATGCGGGGTCACACACACACAAACGCTGAATGCGGAGTTTCAGGTGCAGGAGAAGTACGAGGTTTAAAAAAATAATCAGGAATAATTAAGTCAACTTTACATCAGGTTAGATGTGTCTTGACTGCACAACCATTTCCACCTGCAGCTCCTTGAATTTGGAATGTAAAATATTGCAAACGCTGTGATTTGAAATAAATGCGACCAGAGGCAATTTGTGGGTCGCTCTTGGAAATCGGAATCTACAGACGTTGTCCTGACCTACTTAAACTATTTTGATCTGCGCTTGTGAGTGGAGGTGCATGGGGCTTCCTTTGCATGATCTTCTGAGCCATTTATGGCAAAATATCTTCAAAACTTTTTTTCTTTAGCTGTCCATGTGGTGAGCTTAAAAGAAAAGAAGAGAAAAAAAGAGAACATTTTATACCCAAACTTGGTTGTGAGAACTAAGGCAGCCGCACAATTACGAAAGTTTATGCTAACAAGTATTTGTTGACAGGTAGCAACAAAATTGAAAATCTGAGTATTTTTCCAAGACTGTGCGTCGTAAACAGCTGACAACAGCAGTCTGTTAACTAAGCCACTGACTTTGATTTGAAAATACACTTGTACCCCAAATTTATGGGCACAGGCATTTAAGTTTATTAGTAGGAAACTTCTGATATGTGGATGCTTTCGTCCGAATCATTCCTAAAGAATCTGTTTTGGAAACGCTGTCCCTCTGCACTCTTACGTCACTGTAATTGTCAACATCCCTTTCCCTGTAAAATTTAGAAATTGATTTTAGAGACTACTAATGAGTTGCTATAACAAATCTGTCTTTGGTTTCCCAGATGAATAATTTTGGAATTATTTGAGAGTTTCATGCTAGATTTGCTAAAATGCATTCACTAAAACATATGATCACTTTAAGGCAGATAAAAAATTTTAATGGTTTTCAGGCCATGGGAATGACCGAACTTAAAAATATGGGCCGGCCCCGCCGGTGTCTTAAAATATTTTAAAAGTATTTTTTAAAGCTGTTAACTGAACTATTTTTAATTTGGAATTTGCCACAGAATTCTCATAAATGAGAGAAGTCAGGCAGAAATAATCATGTATTAATTCTCTGCATTACAAAATCTTTTCAGAAGCTATTATCAGAGCAAGAGGCATTTCGGTCTGAATCCAGGGTGGGAGAAATCCTTTGTGCAAGTGAAAGCCATTGTTCCTCGTGCAGATGAAATTGTACTTGCAAATCTGCCATTCAAGTAGCCAAAAAAAAAAAA